GGAGGGAGGAGGGAGGAGAAAAGCTATGGCGGCGGAGGAGGGAGGGAGACTATGGCGACAGGGGAGAGAGGAGGGAGGAGGGAGGAGGGAGGTGGAAAGTTATGGCGGCAGAGGAGGAAAGGAACCTATGGCGAGAAAAGGAAGTTGAAGAAAAAGTACAAACGAGAAGAAGTTGAAGAAGAAAACGAAGACGACGATGACGACGACGACGACGAAGAAGAAGAAGAAGAAGAAGAAGAAGAAGAAGAAAAAGAAGAAGAAGAAAAAGAAAAAGAAGAAGAAGAAGAAGAAGAAGAAGAAGTTGAAGAAAGGAGGGAGGAGGGAGGAGGGAGGAGGGAGGAGGGAAGCTATAGCGGCGCAGGGAGGGGGAGGAGGTAGGAGGTAGGCGCGAAAAGAAGAAGTTGAAGAAGAAGAAGAAGAAGAAGAAGAAGAACAACAAGAAGAAGAAGAAGAAGAAAAAGAAGAAAAAGAAGTAAAGAAAGGAGGGAGGAGGGAGGAGGGAGGAGGAAGGAGGAAAGCTATGGCGGCAGAGGAGGAAGGGAGGCTATGGCAAGAGGGGAGCGAGGAGGTAGGAGCCTGGAGGAGGGAAGCAATAGCGAGGGGAGAGGGAGGAGGTACGAAGGAGGAGGGAGGAGGGAGGCTATGGCGAGGGGGGAGGGAGGAAGTAGGAGGGAGGAGGTGTCGGGAAGCTTGACTTTTTTTTTTTTTTTTTTTACGTTGGGGTTGTCCGGAACCTTGCCCATAAGCCCGACCAGGCACCGGGGAGGGCATCCGGACACAAGTTGGGTGTTTAGGCGCCCTGAAAAACAACCTAGAAAATTATAACCTACGTTACCGAACGTACACGTACGGGGCCTTTCCGTACGAAACGTACAGATAATATCAGTACAGGAACCTGTACGCCCCCGTCCGACCCGTACGGCAAAAAAAAAAAAAAAAAAAAAAAAGTCATCTACAAAATCCGAAAAAAACTATATGTGATGTAAAATTCCAAAACAAGCAACATTTGCCTGAGCATCATCTGCAGATTCTTATTTGAATTGGAGAAAAAAAAAAAAAACAGTAAAACAAAATTTAAAAAAGTCGTACGGGCTTTGAGTACGAGAAGCGTACAAGAAATGAGTACAACTTGTACTCATACGGAGGTGATTACGAGTCGCAACGTAGATTATAACATTCGTTTCCTTTCCCAATAAAAAAAACTCCGATTGGTAAACATCAATGAACATAAAGGAGTCTAAGAGGATAAAAAAATATTATTCTACAGATCGTTATATTGAAATAAAAATACTAAATGAAATTTGGTGAAAGCAAAAAAAAAATTAAGCGACGGAAAACCACCATCTTCTAAATAGTCAAACTGATAAGGAAGAAAAGGAAACAAGTTAGACTGTAAAGTTCGGAGAACGTAAAAAAACTTAAGGAGGAAAAAAAAGAATATTCTAAAAATTATTAAGTACCCAAAGAAAAAAAGAAAGCACTTAGCAGTAAACTTTGACAAGTGCAAAGAAGTCTAAGGAAACATAAAACCTCTTTCTCGAATTGACTAAGTTATAAGTCGTAAAAAAAAAAGAAAAAAATATTAGAATTTAGTGAAGGTAAATTCGATTGTTAAAAGAGTTAAGTGTCCAAAGAAAATAAATAAATAAAAAAGTAAGTTGTAAGATTCGGTCAACAGGAGGAACCTTGAAGGACATAAAAATAGTCTCTAACAAATGACTTAGTACGCAAAGAAAAAAAAATATTGAATAGTAAGTTTCGCAAACGTAAAAAAGTATGGGGCACAACTTTATTCTCATTGAAACAGTTGTCCCCAACGAGAAAAAAAACATTGAGCAACAAAAGACAGTGCGTGTGAAAAACCTAAGAGGATAAAAAACTGCAGTCTTGAAAAACAGTAATCCAAATATATATATATATATATATATACAGGGTTACCAGCACAAACGTACGGACGCCCCCGGGAGGACCTCCGTACGTTCGGGCGTTCGAGGTCCCGTACGGGGTCTGAACCCGACGGCGTTTGGAACCCCGCCAAAAATTATTTCGGGGCCTAAAGTTTTTTTTTTTTTTTGAATTGTTTTTTATATGTTCTCTATGATGTGAGGTGCATGCCTTTAAATTTTGAAGTCATTTGGCATAGCCAAATAAGAACTAAAAATCGCCAAAGATGGCGGTGTCAAAACGTGCTCGCCCACGTTTTTTTTTCACTTTTTACTTTTTGTTTTCACTTTAGTTCGATGTCTAAAAAATTTTATTATTTTTTGAAACTTCTTAAGTGGTTTTTGTATTTTGTGAAGTACATATGTAAAATTTCAGGGCATTTAGCTATGACAAAACAAAATGAAAAATTGTCGAAGATGGCGGTGTCGAAAACATGCTCGCACACTTACTAAATTTAAATCTTTTTTTAATTTTTATTATTAGTATTTGTTCTGTGTATTTTGTTTTTATTTCAAATTTGGTAAGGAATTCGGACATTATGCCTAGGCAAATCTTGTTTAATTTATTTTTCTTCATCACGTATTTTTTTTTCAGATTTTTTGATGATTTTTTTTTTTTTTCTTTTTTTTTTTTTTTTTTTTTTGGGTCCACGTTTGGCCCGAACGGCCGAACGCATCCCCAAGGGATCCCATACGTTAGGGCGTTCCAATTCAGGCGTTCGGCCCGTCCCGAACGCTGGTAACCCTATATATATATATAGATATATATATATACAGGGTTACCGGCGTTCGGGACGGGCCAAACGCCCGAACCCGAACGCCCGA